ACGTTAGCTTGGGAGAGTAGTAATTCTGTTAAGAAAGGTGGAAGATTTTGACGTTTACAGAAAGGCTACAAACAAAAAAGATCTGATCAGTTTCTACGCAAACCACTCTTCTAAAATTAAAACGGGAATTATTATAGGTTTCTATCTAAGAGCGTTAAGAATCTGCAGTCCCCAATATTTACTTAAAGAAGAAACATAGATAGAAAGCACACTCAAAAACCTACAATATCCATATAATTTCATCCACAACGTAAGAAGAAAAGCATACAAAATATACAATCGAAACAAAAATAATAACATAATCCGCAATAATAAATTACATGAAAGCAGATACATAATACTACCGGCCAACTCTGTCACGTCTACTATCCAGAATAGCCTATCCCGTCTAAATAATCTTAAAATAGTCACAAACACTTCCAAAAACATTATGGATATACTAAGATCTTCAAACATTAATAGAAATAATATTTCTGAAGCAGGCATTCATAAAATAAATTGCCAAAACTTTTCCTAACAATATATTGGAGAAACAAGTAGAAATTAAAAAAACAAACAAACAAACAAAAAACGTATTTATGAGCACAACAGAGACCTCACAAAAAAAAACTTAGCTAATGCACTAGCCATACATAGAAATAAATTCAAACAAAATTTTGATTTAAAAATGCTACACTAATAAAAAAAGAAAATAACTCACTCAGAAGAAAAATCCTCGAGAGTGCCGCCATTGAATATTATCCAAATATTAATCTACGCCCAGGCTTTTTCCCTATTTCACCTTTCTTAACAGAATTACTAAAACGTACAGAACAGTATCAAGAAATCAAAAGAAAATGGTTAAATCCGTCATGACAACAATAAAAACAATATTTCCACACGTGACAGTAAGTGACGTAATATTTAGTTAACAGTATGAAAATAGCGTTCTCTAAATTCTTCCAGTTGCTAAGGACATTTTCTTTTGTTATTATTCGTTACTTTGTTTAATAAATTCATTTCATTTTTGTCCTGAAAAGTCCACATTGGACGAAACGCGTCGGCTACTATTACAGTTTTCCTAATGTCTTTTACATTTATAAATATGGTCTTTTCTACAAGTTAACTCTGCCAAATTTTTTCATATATATATATATATATATATATATATATATATATATATATATCCAAAAGAAAACCTTTCTTTAAAAAACATTTTTCAAAATCACTGACTACATAAATTTAAACGTTTTACTAGATTGGCATTTAGGTCCTACCATTTTACTGTTGAAATGCAACCGCCACTTCTACTCCAACAGTTTCTTTTGTCGTAATTTTCCGCCTGTAGCAGCCCCTTCCGTTTCACTGCTTCCCTGATAACTACAAAATCTTCAAAAATTTAAATGCATCATCAATCAACATTTTCTATGTTCTTCAATCCCGTTCATCTTCTGGCCTTTTTAAATTATTTTTAAAATACCGGGGCTCAATCCGTTTGTGATTGGTAAATACAGTTTTTATTTAATATCACTTGTTCGCTTTAATTAATACAGAATTCTAAAAGTGTAAAAATTTATAATGTATGTGAATTAAAAAAAGCGAAAGACATGATTGTAAAATTCATTATTGAAGAAAAAATATTTATCGTAAGACAATCGTGTCAATTATATATTTTATATATAAATGTGCAATTAAAAGTTTATTATAATTAAAGTTTGAGTTTTATTGCATTTTTATTTTTACGATACAGAGTAGATATTCATAATGAGTTTTAATTTCAAAATTCTAAAGATCCGATTGAATTCCAAAGACTTCGAACGAAGATCGAAGCGTAAAATAGCATAAATGTTGTGACAACAAAAACCAAGATGTATATCAACATATATTTAAATTGTTTGTATTTAGGCAGCATATGAAATCTCCACAAATATTCTTAAATGTCTATAATTGGTAACAGAAGCCATTGGTTTATACCAACGGCTTCCCATACTTAATACTTCTCGTTTTCACTCTCGCGTGGTCATGTGTGACGTTATGAGCTGCTGTGCGATTTACGCTTCCAGCGTCTTATATGCACGTATTTATCGTTGCTTGGAAATCATCCATGTAAAAAGAAACAGACTATCATAAATTTCTTGTCCGTGTATTGCTTAATATATTGTACTGTAATTGTCATCTTTGATAATAGCTTATGTAAGCCGAAAGCTTAGATTGGATTAAAAAATATGTATCAATATTGTGATTTTCTTTCTTCGTTTAATGATAATGTTATTAAGCTTATCAGACGTTACGAAAAGAATTTACATAAAATAAATAGACAACACTTGTCTATATTATTTAATGAAACAAAGATAAGGACAATAGTCCGAATAATTTAAATAGTGTATTTTTTTTTGTAATCTTTAAAAATTTTTTACATAGCTTTTACTTGTCTAATACAGTGAAAAAATTAAATATTTTCCTTGTGAGGATTCATAATTGGAATTCTGGCTTGAATATATAGGGTGACCCAAAAAATGGGAACTGGTGATATTCCTCATTGACTGCTGCAACATCCCAGCTGGGATATTGTGAATTCCATCTTGAATTCTAAATGGCGAAATATTTACTTGCTCAAGGTTACTGTCTCGCAGTGTTGTCACTTCCTCATGTCTGGCAATACGCACTTCAAAAATTCCCGTTTTTTTTTCGGTCACTCTGTATTTTCCATTCAATGAATCTAATACATCAAATTTATTTGGATTTATTCATGAAATAGTAAAATTTTGAAGTCGGGTTCTAAGCAACATCCTACGGAACTTTAGGTAACTCTGTACATTTTTTTTTCAGACGATCTATAAAACTAAATGTTCTAAATTGATAAAAGCTATGAATCTAATTTTTGCTATCAATACAAACGCCAGTTTTATCATCGAGTTATATGTTGATTTTCTGAAAAAACGTAAAAAAATCTATATGCCTATTGGGTAACTCCCGCCTGTAAATGACAGCAATATTCCATTTTTTTGGACTAATCTGACTTTTCAGAAGATGTTAAAGAGTGTCAGGAACTTTCTGGAGCAGTAGAATAAACCGACCATTTTCAAAGTATGCTTAGCAAGGAATCGTCTGCCTGAATTCTTCTGAAAGACTGGAATGAACTGAAGTTACTTTTATCTTTTTGTTTTGTTTTAATTTTTCTTCCAAGGATTGATTTTTGAGTATTATTTGAATATGTTAACCAAAATATTTTGGTAACAACAAAAGCGACAAAAAGTCGAATTATATTTCGAGCAACTCTCGGAAATTAATTTTATAATATTTCGGAATAAAACTGAATTAGAGTGAACTAAGAGGATAATTATGCCCAGGAACGGCGACAAAAGAAAAAAAAAAAGTTTGAAAAGAAAATTAAGATACACATTCGTACAAATAACCGGAAACTGTACAAATGTGAAAGCGGAAATGGAGTTAAAACAAAGGTTTGGCACTAGGAGATAAAAACGGAGAGAAGGAAAACACCAGGGAGAAGGGATACATTTATCAAGATACTTGAAGGAGAAGATGATTGCAAAGAGAGAGTGAGGGAGAGTAGTAGTAGAAAAGAAAAAAAAAGAGAGAAGAAGAAGAAGAAGAAGAAGAAGAAGAAGAAGAAGAAGAAGAAAAAAAAGAAGAAGAATGAAAAAATGAAAGTGAAAGTAAAAGAGAAGTCAAAACCTAATGGTGAGAGGATAATGGAAATTCATAAAACAGTGAAAAAACATCAGAGAGAAGGGATACATTTATCAAGATAATTGAAGGAGAAAAAAGTGGATTGCAAAGACAGAGAGAGAGAGAGAGAGAGAGAGAGAGAGAGGGAGAGAGAGGGAGAGAGAGGGAGAGTAGTAATAGAAAAAAAAAAGGAACGAGGGAAGCGAATGCAAAGTAGACGCTGAATGTAGAAGAAAAAAAGGAGAATGGAAAAGTGAAAGTGAAAGTAAAAAAAAACAAAACCAAATGATGAGAGAATAATGAAATTGATAGGCAGATGTAGTAAAAAAAAAATGAAGTGCTTTTAAAGAACAGGATAAATTAGGAAGAAAAAAACGGAAATGACATATTTAATTGGTTAATAAATAGACGAAATTAGAAAAAATATATTTTAAAAAAAAACAAAAAAAAACGCCAATAAATTCGGAAAAACAACGGGGTCGGTGAGGCTGATTTCATCTGAAAACATCCACTATCATTAAATATAAAATGCTCCGGGCAAAAGGTGTTTGTTGTCATTAAAATAAACAAATACAATTGATTCATCCGAAATATTTACTTGGCTGGACTTGAAAAAAAATCAGAATTAAAATAATTGTGTTAATGTGGAGATTAACACCCCCACTCGCACAATTACCCCCAATCGGTCACATTTGTTTTGAGTGATGTCAGCTGTAATTGCAAGAATTTTTGTTGAATTAACAGAGTGGGGTAGACTTTGAATTTCATAGATTTTGTATTGCCCCTGTTATTAATTCATATTTGCAATCTTGTTTTTGTGCTTTGCATTTACGTGTCGGCTTATGGCCATATAACGTTGAAACAATGGTTTCCCGTAAGATCACCGAAGTTAAATAACGTTACTACCTAACTTGTTGACCGCTTGAGAATACCAGGTGCTATAAGGTTGGATGTGCGGGTGGTGTAATGGATAATGTCTTGGAATTGTTTATCGAAGAGTCGAGTTCTAGTTACATTTGGGGTCACTCCATGCATTCACAACAGGAAGTAGAACCAGGCCCCGGCGGATTCAAATAATTTTCTTCGTTTTACTCCAAAATTATTATCATTTTTATTTTCTTTGATTTCTGGCGTTTACACATTTCTTTGCGGGTCCCGCCCAGGGACCTAAGGTTAGAAATGGCATCATGACACTTTCCACTGACAAAAAAACAAAAAACGAATTAGATTACATAGATAAAGCCCTTCGAAAAAAATAATTATAATTAAATTACATATTATTATTATTATTATTATTATTATTATAACAAAGCTTAGGAAAGAGCGATTACTTACGGCCACATCACGTCGAAATATTGGTTTCCGTGCAATCACTTAATTTAAGTAACGTCAAGCCTGGTCAGTACTTAGATGGGTGACCGCTTGGGAATACCAGGTGCTGTAAGCATAGATGTGTGCGTTGGGTGATGGATAACATTTCGGAATTGTTGATCGGACAGCGAAGTTTCAATTTCCGTTGGATTCGTTTTATCCACTTACGCATAAATACAAATGGGGAAGGGGTTTACATTCTTCTCTTCTCGTCTAGCTATTGATTAATTAGTAAGATTTATATCACTACATCATTATAATCCCCAAAAACATTCTTGCAATCCTAAAATATTTTCGGGCTTTAAATAACCTATAAAGGGTTGATAAATCGTAAAAAACGAATCAATTAAATAATGTTTTAAATTTCGTATTTTTCATTGTTAAATTTTTCATTATATTTTTTTAATTTATTTTTTTTCATTTATTTTTTTCATTGGCTTACGGCCATATAATATTTTAACACCGGGTCCCGTACCATCACCGAAGTTAAGCAAAATTGAGCTTTGCCAGTACCTAGATGGGTGAACGTTTCGGAATACCCGGTGCTGTAAGCTTGGTAGGATAATGGATGATAACTCGTAATAGTTAATCAGGGAGCCACGTTTCAATTCCAGTCGGGTTTCTTATATTCACTTAAGCGCAGAAAGGTATGAATTCATATTTTCTCTTAATTTTAATTAGTAAAATTTGCACAGCTAAACTATTAACATCTTCGGAAAAAAAATAACATGTAAAAGATTGATAAGCTATAGAAAACGAGTTAATCAATTTTAAATGTCGTAACAAATGTCTCAAGTTGTCTTACGTTTCCCTGACGAAAGATTCTCAAACTTTATTAATTTTGAGTTCTTTCGTTTTACTTATCTTTGTTCCAGAAAAATATCTCTTGAGTTAAACTTTTGCAAAACAGAAACTCTGAGGCTTGTGGTCATACCAGGTTGAAGCAACTTTAAGCCTGGTGGAATACCAGGTGCTCTAAGCGTTGATGTGCGGGTGGTGTAATGGATAAAGGTTTCGAATGAGAAATCAGTGATCCGAGTTCCACTTACAGATAATGAACAGATAGATAGATAGATAGATAGATAAACTAGAATTATTATATAGTTACCTACAGTGGCCTCAGAAAAGCTTTTAATCGGGAGAAATAAATTACATCCAATTTCAAGATTTAATTACGTACTTCCAAATCAACATAAATAGACAGTATTTGGAACTAGTATGAAGTAGGCCCTCCATTTCCTAGTTTCAGTTCTTGTATTCGATTTTTATGGATTTGATCAAGTTATCAACAATCGTCTGATCCATATTTTGCCACTTCTTTAGCAATGTCTCTTTAAGGGTTGCCATTGACGTGACTTTGGTTGCATGCTCTTGAAGTTTTCGGTCAAGGTGCTCCCAAACATACTCTATTGGATTCATGTCAAGATTTGGGCTATCCATTGCAGTGATTTGATTGCTTGCAAATTCCTTCCAGGCCTTTTCTATTTTGCTCGTATGACAGGGTGCCCCGTCTTCTTTATAAACGTAGGCATTCTTGTCTATCGGATTGGTTTCAAATAGTGGGAGAGGTCCTTTTTCTAATATTTGACAGTATTTTGGACCATTCAACCGCTCGTCAACAAGAATCAGCTTAGATTTCCCTCCAAACCAGACAGCGCTCAACACTATTACTCCAATCCCTCCACGATTCATGGTCGCCTGCAGACATTCAGTGTTCCAAGTCTCATTCTGATTTCTCCCAAAATAAACCTGTCTCGAATTCGAATATTGGCAGAATTTACTTTCATCTGTCCAAATTACAGACTGCCAAAATGCATAATCTTTTTTTTGAATTCTCTCGCCCAGTCAATACGCCTGTTCTTGTTAGCATCTGAAATCAAAGGCTTCTTTCTTGCAACTCTTCTTTGATTGCCTAGTTCTTTCAGAGTCTTTCTGGCCACATATGGCGACATCTCCATACTGTTGGCGACATCTTTGACGCTCTGACGACGGTTTCTGATGACTTCTCTATTCAGTGCCCTTTTCGTTCGCCCAGACACGATGCTTGGTCTTCCTGAACGTTGTTCTACACGACAATGGCCTTCTTCATTAAATTTCTTGACAATATTATTAACCGTTTGATGATTAACCTGGAAAAACCTAGCAATTTCTCTACTTGACTTGCCACACTGATGCCATCCTATTATTTGCCCTCGTTGAAATTTACCAATTTCTTTACTTCCGCGAACTTTCATTGCAAAATATAAGTTAACTATCATTCATAGACGAGAGTAGCTTGATACTATCACGGTAGTGTGTGAAAAAAAGAAAAGAAGATAGGTTATTACACAAGCCAAAATTGCTGTAATTAAGGGTGGCTAAAAACTTATCATAACTCACTGTATTTACTTACGTGCAGATACCATTGGTATCCACCTTTTCTCCTACCACCTATGGGTTAGAAACTTGTTCAACTTGTATCAGAAAATCATTATTATCTCTAAAATATCTTACAATCCAAAAATATATTTCAGGTGTAAATATCCTGAACATATTCATAAGCTGTAAAAAACAAAAAAAAAACAAAAGAACAATGATCTAGAACTCGAATGAAAAAAGTGATGGCATCGACGCAGAATATGTCATAAAAAACAGGGCGTGAAATTAGGTAATACTAAAAACTTCAAATACAATCGGTGTACGGATAACTTATAACAAATTCATTAGAAAAATTAAGGACAAATTAAAAAATTAAAAATTAAAATTAAAATTTCGTTGAAAAATAAGGCCCTACCCTCCCTAAACTTAACCTCTTTTTTCGAACGTAACTCAATTGATACAACAATAGTTAATAGAACATAATCAATAAAAAAACCCGATGAATCAATTTTCTTTCTATACACCTAGGCTAGAACAACTAGAACTGAAGAGAATTTATCAAGCTTAACACAAAATTTGATACAACGACGACTAAAATAGTAAACGATAGTAAATACAAATACAATAATAAACTAAAACGTGAAGGATGAATTTCCTCTATCACCTGTAATAATTGCCACAAAGAATACATAGGAGAAACCTCAAGTGATTAAAATAAAATAATGTATGAACACGAAAAGAACATTTTACTAAATAAATCATTCACTATATTAGTTGCAATTAACTAAAACCAAACTGTACAGAAATTTGAATCGAGTTTCTTACAAATTTCAACATTTTTGGCAGAACTTCATTATTATCATAATCTGAAATTTCTTTTTCTTTTATATGTCGTGTCCTTTCAGGACGTAGGTGATCATGGCTTTTCAAAATTAGGAGATCTCCTAATTTTTTTTAATTTTAAAGTTATTATATATATATATATATATATATATATATATATATATATATATATCAAGTATGTGGTGCAGTTCAATTTACATTACATGAATCATTCATACAAAAAATGCAACTGGAATTTATAAACAGGGATCATAACATTCATGTACAGGTTTCGGTGTTAATGTAATTTATTAAATTTGTTATCATTAACTTCTATATTTGTTTTTTGTATGAATAATTCATGTAATATATATACATATATATATATATATATATATATATATATATATATATATATATATATATACATAATCATTAACTTCTATATCTGTTTTTTTGTATAGAATAATCATGAATATATATATATATATATATATATATATATATATATATATATATATATATATATATATATATATACATGAATCATTCATACAAAAAAACAGATATAGAATTGATATATATATATATATATATATATATATATATATATATATATGTGTGTGTGTGTGTGTGTGTAAAAAAAAAAGAGCAGTAAGATATATAATCCGGTGTTCTTGTTATTTTTATTTTTTCAAAACAGTGCTCAATGTAAATTTAAATTTACAGAGCATAAATATTATAAATTAATTTATTTAAAATACTTTTATTTCGCTACACATTAATAACCATGTTTCAAAAATGGAAACTAAAAACTTTAAATTTCATTATAAAATTAAATTAAAAGAATTAGTTCCGTATTTAACGGATGACAGAATTCGTTGAAAAATACACCCCTACCCTCCCTAAACTTAACCTCTTTTCCTGTCTGAATGATTGGATTCCTCTGTATCTATGGAAACAGTAAATTATGAATTTATATGTGTGTTTAAAACTCAGTAAATGTAAAAATAAGTTATTCCAATATTCGCTTGAAGATGAAACGGAACTAAGGCTTTTAATTTAATTATATAATTAAACTTAATTTTTTAGTTTTCATTTTTGAAAGATGGTTATTACTGTGTAGCAAAAAACATTTTAAATCAGTTAATTTATAATTTATAATATATATATATATATATATATATATATATATATATATATATATATATATAGTGATTGAAAACTAACTCTCTTTGTATGTATGAGTGGCCAGCCAGGAGTCCTGACAATACACTGTGACCTTTTTCTTCGGGGTTGGTTGAAGGAAAGAATCTGCTATACCAAACCAAGATTTTGGAAGAGCTTGAAGGGCGAATAGAAAAAGCTATGTCTTCCATACCGCAAGATTTCGTCTCGAAATCAGTTGACGAAATTCTTGGGCGTCTCGAGAATCTGGTACCTAAATCCGGTGACTATATCGAATTTTAAATCAAACCTCATGATAATAAATATTTATAATATTATTGATAATAAATAAATTATAAGTATTTTAAAATGGGAAGTTACTTTTCAACCATCCTGTACACATTGCCTTTCCTTCATTATTATACGCGGGGGGAAGTTGGGCGTGAGACAAAAGTCCTTGTCATACCAAAGATGAACTGAAGGCAAGGATTATGGCAGAAATCAACTTCCAGAAGGGATGCAGGAGACCAAGATTGTGGTTGTCAGGAAAGCACCCTCTCGGGAGTTTGTTACAGAAAGTAATAATTCTGAGGAAGAAACTGAGTGGAACTTTCTTCTCATCAAAGGAACTCGAAAAGAACGAGGATGGCTTACCATCGTGAGCACCGCAAGGCAAGTCCTAGATGTTAACGTCTGAACTGATGGAACTAAAGGATGTAACTCGATCCCTTGATTATTGAGTGAGAGACTAACAAAACACCAATGATGAACTGAAGGCAAGGTTTATGGCAGCATCCATCAATTTAAACAAGGAGACCGTCCAGAAGAGATGCAGGAGATTCCGAAGTCGTTTGTAGACCGTTGTAAAGCCACTGGTGATTTTATTGAATAAATATACTCTTTAGTATTTCAATAGGTTTTTTGTGTAATTTTGGTAAATACATCTGTTAAAATGAGATGTTAGTGCTATTTTCTTTTTTTGCTTAATTTAGACGATGATTTATCCGTCGCACCATATATATATATATATATATATATATATATATATATATATATATATATATAATTTATTTAAAAATATGAGTCTTTCTCTACATAAGACATTATTTACCTAACGAGTTCTTTCCTGCCTTTTATAGATAAAGATTATTTAAATTCCTCGAGCTTTATTTTTTTACTGACTGTTCACCGAATACAAGGCTCAA